GACAATTTAGAATCACCAATTAACCTCAACATGTTTTTGGACTGTGTGGGAGGAAGCCGGAGACTGTTAATATATATATTCAACTCAAAATGTATTGTACATATGTGTGAGTTTGAACAGCACTGTAAAACACCATAAATGGATTTAGTCAAATCATCTTATCTTTCCTAGTTCACTTAGTATAGACTAAATATATGAGTTTTGTTAATTTGTACTTAACTGTACCTAAAATGTCAATTTTTTTATTTTAAAACCTTTCAAACTTAAAAATGTTAGTTTTGATAATTTGGGTCATTTCACCTAAAACTATGAGTTGGATCATAAACAGCTGAGAATTCACTCAACTCATTTAATTAAGTTTATGACACAAACCTAGCATATAAGGAGACTTCCATGGATGTGTTATCAGAGAGGGAGAAAACAGACATGTTGGAAACTTGCTGTGTATCATTGTTATATTAAGTCATGGCTGTTTCTCTTCAGAAAAATTAATTCTAACTATGACAAAGGTTTGTATGAATTCATTCCCTGCAACTGAAGACGTATATTTTATCTCACTGTAACTGGGAGCAGATTGTCTTTGTACTGTTTTTTAACAGCTTAGACTGTAAGTTCTCGATGGTAAAAAAAAAAAAGAAAAGAAAGAAAGAAAATCGAAAATTAATCAAGACTTACTGTAACCATTGTTTATGTGACTAGTTGATAAATTTAATACGCTATGTTTATTGAATCTGTCTTCACAAGTTAAGTTAACTCAGCTAATTTTACACTGTCATAACTCATAAGGTGTCTTTAATTAATCTTCTGGAGTATCGTTAATTCACATTTTCCTAAACACTTATGTTTCTAAGCTGAATGAGGGTAAAGTGATTTACAGTGGGGTTTACATTACTGACCAGCAGTGGTATAACAGTTTAAAATATTCAAGAAACAATATTTTAATGAGAAGTACCTATTCCTTAGTAGATGTCTTTCACAGAGCACTTTGAGTTGCCATAGAAATATAAAATGATTCCAGCCTCTTGCAGTTACACGAAGGAGGCAAAATCCATCAAATTTTATCTTCATCTTCTTTCTGCACAGACAGAGGTGTGGCCTACAACATCACAGCAGTGGCTACAATCTGCAAACCAGCTTTGGGTGCTTTGGTTTTGATGACACCTTCAAAGTGAACCTCAAGCCCACAGTCTACAAGGTAGGATTATTCACCCTCTTATTGGTCACCTGACCAGCGTTTAGAGAAAGCCTGATGTTAGAGCTCTGGATGTGAACTGGGAGGAAATTTTGCTGAGGTAGCACGGCGGCTTCTTGTCACTTCCATTGCCACATAATTGTGGTTGTTTACCACAACACTGCAGCTGTTGACAGGGTTCGATGAAAGCCAATGTTTAGCCCAGATATTGAAGACACTCAGGGATTCCAGTCAGGGAAAGATAGATGACTCAAAACCACAATTTTACTGAATCGTCTTTGTGATCTGAATTATAACCAGCAATGTCACGCTGGTGGTGAGAAATGACATTTTTTGACCTTGCCATTAATGGTTTTGCTATCTGTTTGTAAAGGGATTCAGCAAATATTTAACTGATGTTTTGCTGACCATTTTGTCAGGCAGTGAAGGAGAAATATGACCATTAAGTTTTACAAGGAGTAGTTTTGAAAGACTGCAAATACTCATTTATGTGTGAGGGTTTATAAATGCAGTTGTTACGATTAGTTTTGCTATGTCAACTTCTTGTCTTTGGGAACACAGAAAGGTGCTAAAGGGAAAGTTTATTACAATGAAACATAATGTACAGTGAATCTTCAGCACAACATGTGTTACCATCAGGGTCTTTCAAAGTGATAAATGCACAATATGTGAGGATGCTTTGAAAATACAGATTGGTATGATGGAGGAAAGCTGTGCAACATGTTAATTTTGATTAACTGGTTTAGTTATGCCTCTAAAAGAAGTTCCCTTCTACTGTGGATATAGCTTAATCTAAAATAGAATGATATGTAGAGTACACTAAATAGAGCCACTGAGTCACAGAATTACATATCTGATAGGTTTTAAGCCTTCTAAACTTCCTTCAGTTCACCCATTCTCTCCAGCTTACAGTATGGAATTACACAGCTATTGCCTTACTTTTCATGAAAGTGACATTCACTTGCTCCACTGTTTCCTGGACATACTCCTTGTGTAGCTCAGAGGAAGGGAGGACATTTCCAACTTCTCTCAAGTAATTAAGTATTTCTGTTTGTTTAATGTTTTCCCCCAACGTTCCCTAGTCAATGTGGGACACAACTCAGTCATTAGAGAGACACTGTGCTGAAGGTGGTGCTACAGTACGTCTGATTTTACTGGAGAGGGTAGCTGTCCTCCAAACAGCCACAAGGTGGAGACAGACTATGACCATAGCAACACAGCCTACTGTACTGTACACCAGAGGCTGCATGTACACCTGCAGAAATGCACCGTGACTGTATTTAATGTCTTTGTTCCTCTCTTGCATCTTCTTTTTAATCATACGGTATTGCAGCAGTCACTTTTGCATTGCAGCAAATTGAAACATAAAAATGTTGAAGTTTAGTTTTCCCAGTACGTTGGTTACATGTGGAATACAAGAGATATAGGAAGACATTTTATCCTAGAAAGTAATATTGTAGTCACAAGAAACTTTTACATTGCGCTCAGTGTGATTAATGAGTCAAAACAACACAGCAGCTTCATTCCACCCAGGGAGAGGCTCCAGCGCTGCGTTGTGCAGCTGTGGCAACAGGAGTGCTTATGTTTTGTTAGATAAAAGATCCCTCCAGTGGAAATAAAGGAAACACTATCAGGTTTCAAGGAATCTGCCAAAGTTTTATGTACAAACGAAAATGAAATTTATCAGAATTTTAATGTTATTCTCTTCATATAGATTAGAATATTTGGAACGCCAGCTTTTCCCAAATTAGTGGAGGGTTTCATGATAACTCTGAACTGAGAATTAGCTTTACAGGCCCAGAAACACTCCACACAAGGTCTTACAAAGCAGCTGCAACAATTATATTCATTCTCAAATAATAATTAATAAATGCTCCAGCAGCTTTATCTTTAACCGGTAAAAACTCTTGCTGTTGTCGCGAGCTGCAGGTTTATCTCAGCAACATGAAAACCCAGCATATGTATGTATTCATTTTGAGATTTATATTTTAGAAAACCGACCTTTTAAACTTGCATGTATAAGTGATTAAAATATACTTATCTTCCAAATATCAGTAATCTAACTGATTCAAGAATGACTGCCATCCTGCAAACACCACATACACCAGGACACACTGCTTATAACAAGCTTCAAACATTTTGTCTTCATCCATAATGCTGTTCCAAAAAGATAATTTCGAG